AAAAGAGAGATGTATACTAGCGCCAGCAACCGCCTCTTTGACAACCTCCAAAGACCCGGCAACCAGGTTCGAGTCTCCAAGTCCTGCACCCTCTTCACACACCATCCCCACCCCCACCGCCAACCCCAGCTTCTCCTGCGCCCAGCGGCCGCCTCACACCCCACCCCTGCACTCACCGGTGCCCTCCGCTACGCTCAGGACGCCGTCTCCCTCCACCCAGCGGTAACAAGGGAACCTGTACTCGTCCCCACTGGTCCCAGGGCCCTGCACCGAGATCCAGTTGCAGAACCAGGCGTCATCCTGGAGGAGGCGCCGTTTGCGCAGTTTCACAAACAGCAGCGGCCCCCAGGTACTCCGACACGTCCACCTTGAATTCCGTCTCCTGCAGGCGACAGGAGAGGCTCCGCGTGGGTGCGTGGCGGGCCCTGCCGCGAGGGCGCGGCGGCCCCGCCCTGCTCCCGCCGCCCCTTTCCTCTGAGCCTCCGGGAAAGCGGCGCGAAGGGAGCCAGAGCGGGAAAGGGATTGCGCACGGAGCAGGGCGCGCGACCCCACCCTGAGGGGATGAGGTCTGGAGGACGCAAGGGTGCACGCCTGCCTGCACTTCTTCCTCCCTATGGGATTGACGAGCACACCCTGGAGCCGGGGACACGCTGTTGACACGCAACTGCAGCTGTGAGACCCACCAAGGCTGAGGCAGGCAGGGTCCCCACCTGGCCTAGGGACAGGCTTCCCGAAGGACATTCCGTCTAAGCGGAGACCGGGAGGTGGGGAGGGCTGTAACGCGGAGGGTGGGGGACGCGCCGGGCAGAGGCTAAGGGAGGGCGTCGTGGAGCTGGCGCACAAAGCCGGGTGTGGGCAGGTGAACAGGAGCAGATCGGGAGGGTCTCCAAGGTAACCAAGAGCTTTGGATTTGGTCTTGAGAAGAAGCGGGAGCCATTCAAATGTTGGAAGCGCGGGGAATGTTCTAAGGGTGGGAATGTGTTGGGGAGAAATTGCTCTGGCTGCAGAAGGGCTTGGAAAGTCCGGCGCAGAGGCGCCAGGCCGGTGAAGAGGGTGAAGATGACGCAGGTTCAAGGGCACATTGGTGGTCCGGGGTGAGGGGGACATCGAGGCACGGATGCGGGAGATGCCCAGGAGATAGGATTGGCTGCGCCGGATTCCCGGTTAGACAGAGGCGGAGGCAGAGAGGGAGGAGGCCGAGCGCCGCCGGGGAGACAGGAGGAGCGGTCTGGCAGGTGGGAAAGGGGAAGGACGTCTTTGGGGCAAGTTCCTTTGACGAGTCCGTGAGACAGACATCCGAATCCGAATCCGAATCCGAGAGAGAGCTGGACAGGCATGGGAATTTGGAGGTTGGCAGAGAAAAAGATAACAGCCCCGGGTAGGTATGACAGAAGTGGGTTGGATAATCGAGAGTGGTCTCAAGTCTTGGCTTCTTTCTCCCACCTATCCCCGATCCCGTCTCACCACCCACACCACCCCAGGTGACAAAGCCAGCCAGGTCTGAGAACAACGGTAGAGGTTTGAAGTAAGTCGCTTTTTAAAAAGAGAAAACAGGAGGACCGAAAGTCCACTCTGGTGGCCGCAGAGTTTCGAGACAAGAGCTCTTGGAATAAGGGGCGCACAGGAGAGCCCCTCAGTTCCAAGGAGGCCCGGCAGCGGGAACATTCACGAAGCGCTTACTGTGTGTCACCAACCGCCCTAAAGCGCTCTACCCCGCCGTCTCCCTGCGCGCTCTATGCCGAGTGCTGCGCCCTTGGCGGCGAGCAAGCAACCTGGCTCTGCGCAGCTCACCTTGCCCCGCGCGGGCCGCAGGCGCGTCCCCAGCGACGCCTCCCCGTGCTGCCCAACCAGCCACAGCTGCACCTCGTTTTTGGAGCCTGCGTAGATCGAGGCCCCGGTGGCCACGCGGACACGGTAGACACCCATCTTGCCCAAAGGTGTTTAGCTCCTTCTGAAAGGGAAGAAGGCCGGACGCGCCAGATATCAGAGCCCGAGACCCCGCCCTCTCAGAAGTCTTATCAGAGGGGTCCCAATGTGGGTGGCAGGTCTCCAACCCACCCCCGCCCGGCGGCTGGCTGGGGCTCCCAGCTCCACGCAGCCCAGAGCTCAGCTCCAGCCCAAAAAGGCTGGGTCCCGGCGGGGGCAGGGAGTGTAAGCCACTGACGTGGTGAGAGGGGGAAGCAGATGAGGATTTGGGCAGAAAACATCCAGGAAGAACGA